GATTAGGCACATAGTTAAAGTCTTTTTTTAAACAGCTATAAAGGCCATCTTTGACGAAATACTCGTAAAATTGCGTTAAATGCAAAATATTTAGAATATTGTTACAACGTACCTGTCTGTCCTGGTTTGTATATTCCTTTGTCCGTCTGTATGTGAATTGCGAACATTTCTGGTATTACACCAGAGTCGTATAAAAGAATGGCATGTTGTTGGAAGAATAACCCATTTAGACCGTTTATCAGTAAAGTGTACCTATACGGATCATCTCCAGTATCTGGTACCTGCACATTTTAAAATATTACTTAAAATCTATGTTTGTATGAGAACGTAAAAAATCTGTATTTTCATGAGCAGGTTTATTGGGCCCATTCACTTATTTCTTGAATAAATAATTATGGGTAAAACGTAATTTAATAGTAATAAAAAGCCTCAATGCCCAGGCAGGTCTAATTAAAATGAGTAATAAAGGAACGTGTAAAATATGATAAGATTTGTGTACAATAAAAAATACATTTACCTTTAATTGCACTAGTTCTGATTTGGCTGAAAAACATAAATAACTACATTAATAAATATATAATGTTATAATATCTCCATGCAAAATCGTACAATTATTTACTAGTAAGACATTGAATATGATGTGATATTCACCGGAAGAGGGTACATTGAACGAGGCGATAGCGAGATCATATTCGATGGCTCGGTAGTTAATAATTGTTTTATCATATGTATAGTCTAAGATTTAAAAAAGATCGCATATGTACAGCCTTATACAACTTTTATCTGTGACGCGCATATTCCTTACGAGATGACGTCAGGCGTATAACGTCATTTTTTCGTACTTTCATGTTTAAGTGATTTCGTCTACCACCACGCAGAACGAATGTTAAAAGCAGAAAATTACGACAAACTGATCATTTTGCGTATTTTCACGTTTTAGTTTTGCGCCTGAGTGCACGAAAGAAAGGGAAAGAGGTAACTGTCGTATTTTCACGCCTTTCTTTGGCGCCCCAAGGAGCGAAACTACATCATGGCAAAAAAAACACAACAACAACAACAAAAAAAATACAGCCATCAAATCTTACTGAAAAGCTTCTATTGCACGTTTGTGATTATTCTTCATTTCAATTACGCCTTATATTACTTTATCTTATACTGTAAATATATTTATATATATACCCGACACTATGAACTATGTAAACTTATGTCTGAGCCTCTTGAATATTAAAAAAACAAAAAACAAACAGTTATCTCCCGCAAATGTATTAACAAGTCATTACCTCCCTTGAAGGTATGAGTAAGCGTCGACACACTATGATGATCATCACGTATCAAATCAACTTGTACATCGACATCAACCCCGGAAATGTTGTAGAAATTAAACGTCAGCGGAATCGGCACCCCAGGGGTGTATCTGTCCGGAACAACTATCCAGTGCGATCTAAAAAATAATATATAAAAAATAAGCAGAAATCGACTTTCCACACGTATACAAGGATATATAGCACCAAACTTGATGTAGATTTTGTTTATATTATGTTTTGCAGTTTTAAATCTTTTCAATGATAACAATGAATTTATTGAATACAAGTAATTAAATAGAAAACGCGTTTAGAACCCTCCTTTGGCCTTTTGTTACATGTAGAGAAATGTATTCTTATTTTTGAGAGAAACAAAAACTAAACTAATGTTAATCAAAATGCCCATATAAACACATTCTGTTTAACCCCCATCTAGCGACAACTAAAATTGGCTAGCCTTTGTCACCAATATAGAGCCAGGCCAGCCTGCACGTCCGAACAGTCTGACCGTCTGACCAGGCTCTATACTGTTAGATGATCTTGATATCAACAACAAATGAACAGAAGCTAGAGAATTTTATTTAAGAAAGCCAGGAAGTTTAAGGTATAACAATTACCCGGTGATACTCGTATCTTTTGCATAAGTGACATCACACGCCACAAACACACAAAGCAACGTGCAAATAAACAACATTTATTTCTCTTCAGTATTTGTTAAGAAGTTTAAAATTCACTATCTGTAATATAAAGAACACATTTCATTAATAGTATAAACTATTTTCAAAAGTAATGCATTAGAATGAAAACTTTAGTGAAAGTCCTAAAATTGAATGTCTTGAAACTTAAAATGTATAATTAAATAACGAAACATCAGAATGTAATTTCGAATCATAAAACATTATAATGTAGAATTAAACCATGAAATACGTTTATTATAATGTAGAATTAAACCATGAAATACGTTTATTATAATGTAGAATTAAACCATGAAATACGTTTATTAGAATGTAGAATTAAACCATGAAATACGTTTATTATAATGTAGAATTAAACCATGAAATACGTTTATTATAATGTAGAATTAAACCATGAAATACGTTTATTATAATGTAGAATTAAACCATGAAATACGTATATTAGAATGGAGAATTAAAACATAAAACATTATAATGTAGAATTAAACCATGAAATACGTATATGAGAATGTAGAATTAAAACATAAAACATTATAATGTAGAATTAAACCATGAAATACGTATATTAGAATGTAGAATTAAAACATAAAACATTATAATGTAGAATTAAATCATGAAATACGTATATTAGAATGTAGAATTAAAACATAAAACATTATAATGTAGAATTAAACCATGAAATACGTATATTAGAATGTAGAATTAAAACATAAAACATTATAATGTAGAATTAAACCATGAAATACGTATATTAGAATGTAGAATTAAAACATAAAACATTATAATGTAGAATTAAACCTTGAAATACGTATATTAGAATGTAGAATTAAACCATGAAATACGTATATTAGAATGTAGAATTAAACCATGAAATACGTTTATTAGAATGTAGAATTAAACCATGAAATACGTTTATTAGAATGTAGAATTAAACCATGAAATACGTTTATTATAATGTAGAATTAAAACATGAAATACGTTTATTAGAATGTAGAATTAAAACATGAAATACGTTTATTATAATGTAGAATTAAAACATGAAATACGTTTATTAGAATGTAGAATTAAAACATGAAATACGTTTATTATAATGTAGAATTAAACCATGAAATACGTTTATTATAATGTAGAATTAAACCATGAAATACGTTTATTATAATGTAGAATTAAACCATGAAATACGTTTATTATAATGTAGAATTAAACCATGAAATACGTTTATTATAATGTAGAATTAAACCATGAAATACGTTTATTATAATGTAGAATTAAACCATGAAATACGTTTATTATAATGTAGAATTAAACCATGAAATACGTTTATTATAATGTAGAATTAAACCATGAAATACGTTTATTATAATGTAGAATTAAACCATGAAATACGTTTATTAGAATTAAAACATAAAACATTAGAGTGTGCATTGAATCATGAAACATAAGAATGAAGTAATTAGTCATTAACTCATAAAATCTTGTTACAGTTACAACCCCATCCCCCAAAATAATTTATTTGCTTTCTTTGGTTTGTTGGCAATTAGTAATAATTTAGGTGACTTAATATTTTGTATGGTAGTCGAAAATATTACTTTGTTTACCTTTTGCTATTGCAACGACACATTACTGTACTTCTCGGCCCTTGGTCCCCTTTTATTTCTTATATATGTAAACGATATTGCTGAAAAGCTTCTAAGTGTAGTAACAAGACTTTTCGCTGACGATAGCTCTTTATCCGTTTGCTATAACGATCTAAGTTACATTGAAAGTACTTGTAATTCCGACCTTAATAAATAAATGGTCTAAACAACGGTTGATTAATTTTAAACCAAATTGAACATAAGTTATGGTGTTTTTTTTTACCTTGAATCATGAAATCAAACCTTCGATAATGTTTTATAAATAACTCTATAGACTTCGTAGATAATCACAAACACTAAGAATTAATTCTTTCTTGCGACTTGAAATTGCACGGACATATTTATAACATTTTAGCTTCGGCATCAAAAGTATCAGGCTCTATGCGTGCTTTAAAATTCCAACTTGAAACCAAATTTATATATTTTATATGCGTCCTATACTGGAGTATGCATCAATTGTTTGGGATGGGTGTGCTGCATATGAAAAACAATCACTTGAGCAATTAAAATACGAAGCCACTAGAATTATATCGAGTGCAAATCGGTCACTATCAATAGTTTTCTTGGTCAAAATAGTCGGTTGGGTCTCAATCTCTGATAGGCAAAAAATCAAAAATTTGTAATTGTTTATAAAGCAGAAACGGTTATATATCGGAATATTTATATTCATTGTGTCCGTCAACTGTATCAGAAACTACTTCTTATCCTTTGCGAAATAATAACAATTATATTACTATAACAAGGCGCACTCATTTATATAATGCATCGTTTCGTTTTCACCATCCTCCTTAGAATTATGGAAAGACCTCGACTGCCGATATACGAAACTCTCAGACACTCAACATATTTAAAAACTTGTTTAAAGCACCAACGTTAACGGTTCCGAAGTATTACTTTTAATGGCCAGAGATAGTTATATATATTGCATACACGTTAACGAAATAATTGCAAAAATTTAAATAATGATTTATACGATAACCAAATCGCGAAGACGCTTTTTGCCAATGTGATATTGTGATTGAAAATGCTGAGCATTTCTTTTTCAAATGTAATCGTTACGTCGAACAACAAATAATACTATTTCGAGAAACTCGATCCTATTATTAATATTGATACATTATTGTTTGGTCTTGAAAATTTAGAATATGAAGATGACGTTGTTATTTTCGAACCACTTCCAAAATTTATTAAGATGACCCATCGTTTTGATAATATTTGACTTTTCATCCTGTACTTGTTTTCATTCTAATATTTGTCATTTATCTTGGCTTAATTGCTCTTATCTAACCTACTTAAATGACAAACATTCACAAACCCTCATTTTTCAAAAACCATACTACAATTCAGCTAATTCAAATTTAAAATCACTGCTAATGATTGCAACCTGTGGATGAATCGCACACCAAAATCAAAATTGTTAAAAATCAAATACATATTTTAAAGTTAATATACATGTTAAAAGTAACCATTGTTGCCTTAATAGTATTTTTATCTGTAATATCGGGAGGGCTTAATCTTATCTTGTAAGAATTTGTTGCCAAACGCATTTGCATTTTGATGTAAAATCATCATTTGCATAATATGTTTGTAAACATGTATTTAATGCAATAAAATATGTTAAAACTAAACTGTACAATCAACGCTACTTTCTTCAGTTTTAATTATTGTGACATGCTCATAATACATTATCAAACAAATGTTTGATATTGCGGAAGAATGTGATAGATTTTAACGGATTTCTAATGCATAATATATGTTAAATTTATGTATGAATTCATAATTTAAAATCAATGTCAAGGAGAAAAGGATTCAGCCACTGGTCAGCGTATTATCAATATCGTATGCTAAGATGATGAAGTAGTATTATATCATAATAAAAAATGCAGTACTTTTCAATATGCTTCTACATACAATTTAAAAACTATACGTAACTATGTTTGGAATAAAATTGTTAAATGTTTGGAGAAAAATCCACTCACCTTTCCTTTTATCAGTATGTTTTTAAGTAATAAGCTTATTTCTTCACGGGTTTTTATATATTTCACAATCCAGCAAAAACTAGAGGTCTATAACAAAACTGTCCTATCTCTACTTTTATCTGAAACAAGATACGTCAGTTTAGAAATCGACTTATATCTTATCACAATACTCCCATGGCCTTTCTTAAAGTCCTGGTGCAGACTAGGTTATTCAAGGAATCCCTATCTAATTAAGGACATTATTTTGATAAAATCAATTTGTTTGACATGTTGTGAATTTCAGTTCACGTACACTACAAGTCACCAAGAACAGCTATAGGTCATGTACGATGAAGATTCACAGACCCAAGTGACGTTTTGGAGACAATAGAGCGCAAAGTTGAACAAGTGCATGTTCCGAAATGTTAAACGTTATATTGTATACAATACCGCCAGTAATAGCTGAACATGCTTTGATGTTGTTATTTCAATAATACATTTTTACAAAACTACATATATGTTTTGACAAAATTGATCCATGATTCATGGAGGAATTTGATTAGATTCTTAATTTGTTATTTACCACCTGATGGCCTGGTGGTTATAAATACGAAATTTTAATACCTACGTAACTATATAAAGTAACAAAAGCTAGTGTATTTCATGGTCATTATGGCAATATTGAGGTCATATTGAATTTTTTCTGCCCTGTACTCGGCATTATTTTGTCCATAATGGGCGAGTAAATTTCAGTTAAGATGGACATAGTCAATCGTGATTAACAAACCTTAGCATTAAAGATTTGTAAAATCAAGAAAAAAATCAAGTAACTGTGTCCAAGACAAAACATGACCTTCAGAAATTTCGAAAATGAATTCAGATTGACCGTAGATTTACTGTAAATACATGAAAGCCGAACATTTAAAAACAAAATTAAAGTTAAAAAGTTATATTTTGTTGTGAATATAATATATTTCTAGGGGCACATCTCCAGATAGATCTTATGAAACTATTAGAAAATTTTTAACAAAGCAACCACTAGAAACATTAACAAGAGAGGAAAAAGTCCGGGGGAATTAAGAGCTAGATTTGTGACTTGACAACATATCAGTACCGTTCTTAAAATCACACAAGTTCTAATAAAAACTAGCTCTTAACGTTATTATCACACAGAAGAGCATCCATTAATATAAACAACAACAAAACCAATTGTTCTCATCTTTTTTGTTATCATTTTTATCATGTTTTCTAAGTTAATCGTAAGGTTAAACCGAATGACAGATTTTTGTTAACATTGACAACTGTCTTAGAAAGGGCGACAACTAAGATTAGCGCCGTATATGTATATGTATTATTAGTTACTGCTCGCCATTGCGAAAATGGCCCTCGAATTCATAATGTCCTATGGGCATGCGGCCATCATGTACATCTTAAGGCCATTATTGCCTTTAAGTAATCGCGTTGTTGCAAATTAG